TCAGTTTTTGTGAAAAATAAATATTTTGGAGCAAAATTTAAAGTAGAAGTAATGATGATTTAACAATGCAAATAGAAAAAACACATTTTTTAGGTACTCATATACTTACCTGATGAGCTTAACATGTTCTATTTTTACAAACTCTTCAGGTACTTTTAAGTTCAAAAGATGTGCTCTTATTTAGAGAGAAGATAATTTGTCACATAGAAAATGAATTTCCTGGGCCGGCCTGGTGCTGCACTGCTACAGTGCGCCGCTTGGGAGCGCGGTGGCACTCCCGCCGAGGGTTCGGATCCCACATACAGACCAGCGGCTCACTGGCTGAGCGAGGTGCGGGCGCAACACTGAGGGTTGCGATCCCTTGCCGGTCCCGGTACGGGGGCGACACTGAGGGTTGCGATCCGTTGCCGGTCACGAAAAAAGACAAAAAGGAAAAAAAAAGAAAATGAATTTCCTGTATTATGTATTTTCTTCTCATTATCTTCTATAATATTGTGCTAATTGCATTGTTTGATCAGTAATAGCATTTTGTTTTTTTCAATATACAAAAAATCAACTGTATTTGTATATATTTGCCATAAACAATTGAAAAACAAAAATTAGAAAGCATCATATATAATAGAGTAATACCATTTTGTAAACAGTATAGCCCAGTGGCTAATTCCAGTTGACAAAAAAAATATATAGCCATACAGCATGTATTCAGTTATTTAATGAGCTATGTACAATTATGCATTCACACGAAGTATGGAAAAGATCACTAAGAATCATTTAATGGAGGAGGTGTAGTGTGATGGTAAGTGGTCTTATAGTCTGACTACCTGAGTAATATTCTGGCTGTTGACCCTGGGCAGCAAATTACTTGCACCTTTCCCTTCACTTCCTTCATCTCTAAAATAGAAATAAAATTACCAACCTCACATTGTTGTTACCGAGAATAAATAAATAATCCCAAGTAAAGCACTTGGAACAGGGCCTAGCACATAGTAAGTGCTTGGAAATTGTTATATAGTGCTATTGCTTAATGCATAGAACTTGACAAATTGTCAATCTTTGTGTCTTTTAAATAAAAAGAAAATACATTTATTTATAAATCATAAACTGGCTGAAACCAAAGTATGAAGTTAGATATGAAGATAGAATTAATCTACTATACCTACGTGCTTCATTTGATTTGCATTCTACCAACCCAGAATTCTCAGTCTGTCCTATCATTGGCAGAGAATATGATATTCTTCTCAGATCCTTAACCCTCTGCACATGTATTAGGGACTGGAGGAATTGTTACCACCATACTCGAACCCCATAGGGGAACTTTCATGTCTATTTTTTTCTTCAAGTTCAGGTTCCCTTGGAGTCTCCAGTTGGCCATAGCAATCCATTTCCAGCCAATTCACTTCAGCAGTCATTTTATTTGTAAGCTTGCTATGTGCTGGGTGATGTTTGGTGCAGTTGATACAAAGTTAAATACCTGTCCTGCCAGATAAACTGCTCAAGTATAGTTCAGAAGACATGTATGAAAATTGGCAGTCACTACTCAATATGATAAATAGTATGATAAAAATATTAGAAAGTTGTTATGGGAACACCAGAAAAAGAGACACCTGAATATTCTCAGAATGTGAATACAGTACATGAAAGCTGCATAGCCACAAAACTTCTCTGTCCAAGATAACAGGTGCACATAAACTGTGATCTATGGAAATGTGTTATTTAATTTAAAAGATAAGCAGGCCAGGAAGAGTAGTGAGAAAAGGCATTGGATGGAATGCCTTGGATGAAAAGGCACTACATCTGTCATATTTGCAGTATCCAATGTACTTCTAGGGAATACATTTCATACGTGATCACACAGTATGTAAAAATTGGACAGGATCCCAATTGTCCTTTTATTTATTGTAAGCCTAAATACCTATCAATGTAATTACAGATTAATTCCTGATTCTTATGTGTTTGATCTAATTTTATTTAAAAATCCAGTATGTATGGTTTTCTCCTAAATGATCTTATGATGGAGAAATTAGCATAGAATAATGGGGAAAGTATGTATTGTGGAATTTAGAAAATATAGGTTTAAAACTCTTTGTTTCTACTTAGCTGTTCTTTACCTCATCATAGTTATGTGGCCTCGGAAATTATTTAACTCCTCTAAACATTTAAACAATAACTATAAACTAGTTCCAATAAAGTCCTCTGTTGAAGTATATAAAAAGATGCTCAACATCATATAGTATTAGGCAATTGCAAATTGAAACAACAATAAGCTACCACCACACACTTATTAGAATGTCCAAAATCCAGAACACTGGTAACAGCAAATGCTGGCAAGGATGTGGAGCAACAAGAACTCTCATTCCTTGTTGGCGAGAATGCAAAAATGGTACAGCTACTTTGGAAGACAGTTGGGCGGTTTCTTAACAAAACTAAGTATATTCTTATAATATGATCCAGCAATCGTGCTCCTTGGTATTTACTCAAATGAATTGAAAATGTATCTCCATACAAAAACCAACACATGGATGTTTACAGCAGCTTTATCTCTAATTTCTGAAACATAGAAGCAACTCAAATTTTCTTCAGCGGATGAGTGGACAAATAAACTGTGGTACATTCAAAAAATGTAATATTATTTAACACTAAAAAGAAATGAGCTTTCAAGCCATGAAAAGACAGGGAGGAAACTTAAATGCATGTTACCAAGTGAAAGAAACTAATCTGAAAAGGCTACATACTGTATGATTCAAACTATATGACATTCTAGAAAAGGCAAAACTCTGCAGATATTATAAAGATTAATGGTTGCCAGGAGTTAGGGGAGAGGGAGGAATGAACAGGCAGAGTACAGAGGATATTTTAGGGCAGTGAAAGTATTGTGTAATACACTGTAATGGTGGATACAAGTCATTAACATTCATCCACACCCACAGAATATATAATACTGAGAGTAAACCCTAACTTAAACTGTGGATTTTGGGTGATAATGATGTGCCAATATAGGTTCATCAAGTGTAACAAATGCATCATTTTGTCACCAGATGTTTATAGTGGAAGAGATTAGGTGTGGGGGGAGGAGGGTAAGAAATATATGGAAAATTTCTGTACCTTCCACTCAATTTTTCTGTGAACCTAAAACTGCTAAAAAATATATCTATTTTTAAAACATCTTTTGAAAATTACTGGCAAACTGAAGTAATGGAATTATATTAAACAGCTGATTTTTGCCAGGCTCCTTTTAATTAATTCTCAAAACAACTTTAAATACATTGTTAAATCCATTTAGAGATGAGAAAATTGAGTCAGAGAATTTACTAATTTATCAACAATTTATTCAACTAATCTTTACTGAGTACCTATGTGTGACAGGTATTGTATTAGGCATGGAAGATACTATAATGAATTCATATGAATCTTATATTTCAGGATAGTGAGACAAAAAACAGTAAGTCAACAAATAAATAAAATAATTGAAGATGAATTAAGTACTATGAGAAAATAAAGTGTTGAGATAGAAAATAACGGAGAAGATTCTCTTTAGATAAAGACCCCAGAAAATGTTTCACATTTAATTTGAGCCTTAAAGGAAGCACGGGAGTTCACCATATGAAGAGCATCATAGACACATAGGACAATATGTGAAAAAGCTCTGAGGCAGAAAATATCTCAACATTTGAGTAACTGAAAGAAAACAGGATATTTAGAATTTAGGAAGACGAGGTTGGTAAGGGAAAGGTATATTCTAAGTCTTTCTGATGAATATTTTACTCATTTAGCACGTTTCTTGAGCATGAACTGGTTGCTAGTAATTTCTCTAGGCACTCAGATAAATTTATTAACATAATCTCTAATGTCTCTGTACTCATAAGTTTATATTGTAATAGGGGAAAAAAGAAGCACACACACACACATCAAAAAATAAATTTGATAACACCAAGGTCAAGAGTTTGGATCCCCATACCGGCCATAGCAAATAAATAAATAAATAAATAAATAAATAAATAAATAAATAAATAAATAAATAAATAAATAAAATAGAAATTGTTATATAAATAAAACAAACTTCAGATGAGGTGAATGCTATGAGGAAAACAAATAGGGTAAAACAATGGAGATTAGCTTAGAGAAGAGAGGTAATACACATAGTGTGATTTCTCTAAAGAGGTGATATGTGAGCAAAGACCTGAATGATGAGAAAGAAACAACCATGTGAACATCTCAGGATAGATTCTTCCAGTAAGAAAGGTTTAAAAAAAATTAAAAAGGCAATGCAAAGACTTTGAGTCAGAAATGAGCTTGGCAAGTTTTAGGACCAGAAAGAAGGCCAGTGTATTAGTCCATTTCAAATAACAAAATATTTGAAACTAGGTGATTTACAAAGTAAATGAAATTATTGCTTGCAGTTTCTAAGGTTAGGAAGTCCAAAGTCCAGGGAACACATCTGGTGAGAGCTTTGGTGGTGGTGACAGTGATGGCAGAGTATCACATTGTGAAAATGGTGGAGCAGAGAGACAGATTAACCTTCTCTTTCACTGTGCTTTTAAAGTCTTTCAACCCATGCCCATGAACACCATTTTAAATCTATTCACTACATCATGATCCTACAATCTAATCATTTCTTCAAGTCTCCACCTTTCAATTACCATAATAGGATTTCCCACCCTCAACAGTAACAGTGGAGGTTAAGCTTTGGGGGGACACTCAATCCAAGGCAGGCAGTGTATCTGAAATATAATGACAGAAGGGGAAAACAGAAAGCTAAGGTTAAAGAGGAAAGTGGGTAGGGCCTTGAAGGCCACTTTAAACAGGTTTCGTTTGTTTGTTATTATAGTTTTAATGAAAAAACACTTTTGGGTTTTAAGCAGATGCATCATAAAAGCAGATTCAATTTTTACAAGATTACTATGAAGTTCTGAGGAGAACGGATGTAGGGCATAGAAATAGAAAGAGATACTAGGTAGCTACTACACAAATTCAGATGAGAGATAAAGGTTACATGAACCATAATGGTAGCAGGGCAGTGTAAAGAAATTGATTCTGGACATCTTTTGATGGAAGAACTTGCAGGATTTACAAAGGATAGGACAGAGAGTAAGAGTGATTCCCTGGCTTTTGACTTGATCTATTTTGTGAGTTGAGGAGTTATTTACCAAGATGAGAACAAGGATAAAAACATGTTTTAGAGCTCATGGCAAGTAAGGAAAATGTTATTCTAAATTCATAGGGAATCTGTTGTATAATTTGAAGTAGCAATGGGGCTGTAATTCAGTGAGTGCTTTAATTAGATCCTCTGTGTTTCTGGAATACTCCAATGTCATATTGGGTTCAGGGCTTTTAACATTCTGTGTCCTTGGCCTGAATGCTCTTCTTTTAGATTTTCAAATGGCAAATCTTCTCATCTTTTGTATTCTACCTTATCTCTTGCCTTCTCAGAAATGAATTCTAGATATATAACTCAATTTTTTCTTGTCTTCTCTTATCTTACCATGTACCTTGTAGTTGTTCTCTATCCTTTTGACCTATTCTATGTTTTTATAGCACTTATCAGGATCTGAAGTTTTGTGTTCCATTTGCTTAGGCATTTATTATGTTTCTTCTTCTATATCGTGAACTTCATGGCTCAGAAATTTCTGTTATACAGAGGCGAGCTGGCTCACAGTAGGTGTTCCATAAAACGATGTTGGATGAATGCATAGCACTTAATAAGTGTTAGTTTATTTTTCTATATTTTAAAGTAAGCTATGTTTTCTCCTATAAATATAGTAGTTGTAATTTTTATGGTTTTCAGGACAAAATGTAATAATACTTATTAAAATTCCCCGTTCAATTTTACCACATAATATTCAATTAGTTATGAACTTTTTCATTCATTTCATCCATAGGTCCCACTGAAACAGCACACCAGATATTGATTAAATGGTATAATTCTATAGTAGTTGTAATTTTTATGGTTTTCAGGACAAAATGTAATAATACTTATTAAAATTCCCCATTCAATTTTACCACATAATATTCAATTAGTTATGAACTTTTTCATTCATTTCATCGATAGGTCCCACTGAAACAGCACACCAGATATTGATTAAATGGTATAATTCAAATTGGGATATTATTCATAGCAAATTATACATTATACATTATATAGCATATATCACATATCATAGTATATTATTTATTATATGTGATGCAAAATATATGGTATAAAATATATAACATATCATATTTTCATTATATAATCTTGGTAGGATTATGATGGTTAAATATTCTCTTGTGAAGCATATTCTCTAAACATTCTGAATATCTTTCTTCTTAACATTTCAAACTATATTTATTACAAATAGAAGAAAACAAATATGACTGTTGTACTAAATTAATGAGAGGTTTCCTGTCTTCTAAGAAAAGCTGTAATTCTGATGGTAAGTTTAATGATTAATTTATACCTCCTCCCTTCATGTTCAATGTTTCCAGGAAGAACCCTATGTCCTATTTAAGAAGTCTGACAAACCTCTCTATGGGAATGATCGATTTGAGGGATATTGCATTGATCTCCTCAGAGAGTTATCTACAATCCTTGGCTTTACGTATGAAATTAGACTTGTGGAGGATGGGAAATATGGAGCCCAGGATGATGCCAATGGACAATGGAATGGAATGGTTCGTGAACTAATTGATCATGTGAGTCCCTTTTCTCATTATTTATTACCTTTGGTAGATTGCTACAAGATTTAATCTTCTTTTTAATGTTCATGCATTAATAACTATAAAGAGCAGTGATATATTTCAAGTACGTATTTTCTTCAATGAATTTATTTAAAGTAGGTATTATTTTTGTCACTAAGAGTGATGTATAGTCCTATCAGAGAGAGATGTCTACTTAAATTCACTAGTATTTAGTGATATAATATCTTGAGATAGTTGAGAGTGAGTGATGCAAAGAGAAAATTTCATCATAAATGTTTACTATGCTAAGATAGGATACTTCTTAACTTTAGAATAGAGATAAGAAAACAATTTCTACATGAAAAAAGCATAGATTAGGATACTGTATAAAGAATAAAATAAGAATATTAAACTTATTAAAGCAGGAGGATAGACTTTTTGTAGTTTCTTATTGCCTAGGAAAGCATTATTGAAGAATTTCTCAGTTGGTGTCTATTGATTCATTTCTTTGAAATAAATCCTTATCTGTTAAATAACACACATTGCATTTGACTTTGTGTTTTGCCCCATTAAATTTCTTATAACATTTTCCATAATGCTAAAGTAAGAATTCTAGAAAATAAAAATAATTTTTCTTTAAAAATGTAAACTGTAAGCTGAATAAAAAATTTTTGCCAGTGGAAGTAGCAAATACAGGCAATTTTCACAGCATTTTGAAAATGCTTTATTGCTATTAGTTGCGAAGTTCGTTTTCAAGATTAAGGCAATAGGGAGGTTCTTTTTCTCTGAGAAAGTGAGCAAAGAGAAAGAGAGAGAGAGAGAGACAAATAAAGTCAGATGAAAGAGAGAGATTAGGCTTTGGTTAGAAGCAGGATGACAACATAAATAAACTATCATTTGAAAAATTTCTTTTTCTTCAAATATTTAGTGTATTTTTTTAATAATTTGAAATTTACTCAATGAGATCCTAAAGTTCTAGCCTTGATTAATTACTTCTCACAAGTTCTGCCTATATGGGACATTTATATTTCAGCTTTATAAAATCCATTAGAAGATGATGAAAATATATTGCATTATATATATGATTTGGAAGCAATATAAAACCTTGAACTTTATATTAGCTGCTATTAATATAGTAGTAACTATAAGAAACCTAACTGAAGCTGGCTTAAGCAAAAATGATAATTTGTTGGTTTGATCTTTGCAAAAGTCCAGAGGTATCAAATGGCCATAGGTGTGGGTATCAGGATTTAGTACCTCTGACCTTTCACCTCAATTTAATCTTTGTTTTTCTGTATTTGTTTTACTCCAAGGCATGTGCCTCCCAAAAGGTGTCAAGCACAGTTGCCATCAGCAGTTCTAGATTAACTATCCAGGCAGAAATATAACACCTTTATCCTAATAATTTCATTTAAAAGACCCCAAATTTGGCTTTATTGCCGTGGCCTAGGTTATGAACTGAATCCCGAACAAATTATCCTATTTAGAGGGAGGTAGTGTTCTCATTGCACAGTCTGGGGCATATACTCACCCAGGCAGAAACCTGGGGTATGGGGTCTGCCCCAGTAAAATCACATAGATTTAGAGTTGGGGAAAATTTAGAGCTCAGAGAAAAATCAAGGTGTTTATACCTAAAGAAAGAGATGGTCACTCCAACTACCAAGCGAATTTAGAATGAACTATGTATGACAAATGTTGCCTAAAAGAAAATGGAATGTATCTTGCACGGACTACACAATGGATATTCACTATAGAAACCTGAAAGTAGCTTATATAAGACTTTTACTTTTAGTCAAAACGTAAGTGTTTAGATCACAAGTGCCTTTATGTATGTATTTGCCATATGTACTTAATTAATGCTCTTTTAATTGGGCTTTTTGGGATTCAAACTTGATTAAATCATTTAGTTTTCTGTAATCTGTTCTTTTTTGATTTCCTATCTATGTGCATTTCTTCAAGAAAATTGTAGAGTAGGAAATGATGGTTAGGAAATAATGATTTAGAAACATGGTATAAAAGATTATCGCATACTGAATGAGGAAATAGCAAAGGGGTATTATAATTTAATACTTATTTCTCAAAAAGTCAATTTTTGGTATTGAGTTGAGAGCAGTGATAGGGTCTTCAAGTTATGTAGTAATTTTATTCTTCTTGGTGCCATACCTGTTAGTTTACCTTCTATTTTTCCCTGTAAGAGTACAGTCCTAGTCTAGTATACCTTTTTTTGGTGCCTTTGTCATGTCTCATATTGTTGCCTTAGCCTTGGTTTTCAATATCTAGCATCACATGTATGAGTAATATTAAACTAGGATGATGATTATAGTCAACGTATTTTTCTTTTTACAACCTCATCATAGTTTGCATATTCATAAATATGTAATTTCAATGTCAAGGAGTAATTCATTGATAATCAGATCAACAACCTGAACTTCGTCATCTCCTTATTTTTCTTGGATAAGATTAACCTCTCATATCATTCTCACATGGAAATTTCACCATTGCACATCTTCAGCCCTGAGCCTCAGACCTAAAATCTAACTTCCACTGGTATATTTTCCATTTAAATATCTCCCAAGCACCTCAAAGGCAGCATGTCCCAAACCGAATTTATCATTTATCTTTCCTGAACCTGTTCCTTGTAAAGAGTTTCTATTTCAGTATATGGCACAGCATTTCCATAGGTTTCCCATGCCAAAAATTTAGTAGTCATTTTTTCTCACCCCATCATGGTTTATTGACTGTGCTTCTTAAATAACTCTGAAAGCTGCCCAATTCTCTCCGTCTTCACTGCCATCTGGAATAATATTTTGATACGATGATCTTTCCTTCTTAATTCATTATATATATATGCAAACACACACACACACACATATATTCAGCTAGAGTCTTGTTTCAGAAAGAGAAATCTGATAATGCTCATCCCTTGCCTAAAATCTTTCAGAAGTTTCCAATGTCCAGAGGATATAGAAACAACCCAATTATATAATATGTTCACAAGTCCTTCCAAATTATGTTATTGTGTATTTCTTATGGATATTTCTTTTTGACCCTTCCAGTCTACTGCTAGATCTTCTCCACTCTGCTTTCTGTGTTGGCAGGATATCCAATAGGGACCAGCAGTAGGGTTCCCCAGCTACGATCCAAGGGAGGGTGGAGAGTGAGGTCAGGATATTTATTTGTCTCTTCTCTCCCTGACATGTTGCTTCAGGCTGGATGTGTCCCTACATTGAATGCCATAATTCCTAGTAATAAATGCCTGCTTTTCTGTTCTGGGTTCCGATCTCTTCTCTACGTTGCTTTGTTCCAGCTGTGCTGCTACTAGCCTAAAGTTTCTGTACCATCCCTTAAATTTTTCCTACACTAGTAGTTCTCAAAGTGTGTTCCCAAGATTTGCGGAATCATCACCACCTAGGAACTTGTTAGAAGTGCACATTTTCAGGCCTCACCCTAAACTTACTGAATCTGAAACTCTGGGGTGGTATAGGGCTCAGCAATCTCTTTTAACTAGTCCTACTAGTGATTCTGATATTTTTTGAAGTGTGACAATCAATGCCCTACCCTCTGCCCTTATTTTATCCCATGTAACTAATCCATTCATAAATAAATCCTGCTCAGTCATCTTCACTTAATTGCAATATCTGTGTTCTATTGAGACCCTAACTATCACATCTTCCTGTATTTTCATCTCTTGGTCTCTCCAGTCATACCCATGTGGACATCTTTCAGTCTTGTTCTCCTTTAAGTCCGGGCTAATTCTCTGTCTGCAACAATCTCTTTAGCCCTCACCCAACTCACCTCATCTGAGTTCTACTTAGCTTCAGAAACACGTTTTTAGTGAGACTTTTCTCCCTCCCAAAAACCCACCTGCTAAGAGTTTCCACGCTGATCTTCTTGCATAACACCTATAACACCTTATTTTAATTGCCAGCTTAATATCTCTTCTACTTACTTGCATGCAAATTGTATGATAGTTATAATATCAATCAGGATTATTTCAGTTGCAAGTGTCAGAAACATGGCTCAAAATAGTGCACACAATTTACACACACACACACACACACGGCTTAATATCTCTTCTACTTACTTGCATGCAAATTGTATGATAGTTATAATATCAATCAGGACTATTTCAGTTGCAAGTGTCAGAAACATGGCTCAAAATAGTGCACACAATTTACACACACACACACACACACGCGGGTGTGTGTATATAAACCCTCACGTTTCTAAAAAGCTCAGTAATGGTTATTACTTCAAGCATGGCAGGATCCAGGGTCATTAACTATGCCTTTGATGCCTGGCCTCTTTCACTCCCTCACTACCATTTGGCTTTACTTTCTTTCCTATGGGTTTTATTCTTAAGAACCTTTTTTCCATATGGTGACAAAGATAGTCTATGGTGGCTCTAAGCCATTGGTTCTCAATTCGTAGCAATACCCCCTCTTCCCACCAGCCAGGGACATTTGGTAATGTTGGGAGATATTTTTGACTGTCACAATTTATGGAGGTGGGAGAGATGCTGCTCCCGGCATCAAGGATTAGAGGCTGGGGACACTGCTAAACATCCAACAATGCACAACAAAGAATTGTGTGACCCAAATGTCAATAGTGCTGAAGTTGAGAAACTCTGCTCTAGACTTACCTGGTTTTTCAATTTCTCATTTTGAAAGAGATAGAGGTCCCTTCTTCTAAAGCTTCAGCAAAATCCATGGTGGCAGTTGGAGTGTGAGGGGGGAGGTGATGATTGAACCAGCTTGGACCATGAGCCCAGCTCAGAACTAATCCATAAGGCTGGAGGTGGTAGTCAGAATGACCAGTCCTGGGTCATGGGTTCACACCTGGAACTGTGAGATAGAGTCAGCTCCAGTTGAATCATGCTTCTTATAATTTTTGTGTGGACTCGAATGCAGAGGCAACTAATGTTTATTTCACACCAGCTATGAGCCAGACCATTTTCTCAGTCCATTACTTATATTGCTACATTTGACAGGTAAATTTTAGTTAAAATAAACATT